AGACTAGAAGAAACTAGAAGCAAGAAGCTGGAAGAAGAGGTGAACACGTGAAGAAGAGCTGAGCTGGTGTTCTGGTGTTGCTGGTGAAGAATGAATCTGATTTGGGCTGGAGAATGTGGGCTGGTGACCTTGCTGTTGGGCTGGTTTAATATTCCAAGAGCAACCTTTACGATTTGTCAATCAGCTCTCACCAAATGATGTTTTTCTATTAAGGAAATCAATATATAGGTTAAAGCTAGCACCGTGCATGGTTTGACCATCTCTTTCAGTTTTTTCTTCGACTGGATTCCATTGCAGCAAAGCTGATTGCTCCCCTTCTATACATCGTTCCCGTGGCATCATAACAGTTTCGTTAATTTATGTTGACGATATTCTTGTTAATGTTGCTGGAAATGATAATAATTTCACGTCGTTCTTCTTGGACAGCTTAGCACAGAATTTGCCATCAAAGACTTGGGCCCGTTGCACTATTTTCTCGACATAGAAAAGTTCTGATGAAAATTTGTTTCCTAATCAGCACAAAGATGTTCATGACCTATTACAACGGCTCATATTGCAACACCACGAATGCTCAAAGTCAAAGACCAACCTTCTTATCAGATGACGACCCCATTGATGCTACAAATTATTTATGTATTGTGGGTGCCTTATGATATCTCACCTTTACAAGGGCTGATATTGTTCATGCAGTCAATGTGGTATATCAGTTTTTTTGTCAGCCATCCTTAGTCCATTTGAAGGTTGGAAAATAGATATTACGATATCTAATGGGGGAACTCGGCACTAGGCTTTCGCTATCTTTCCACAAGTCCTCTTTCATTATTCAGTTTTAGTGATGCGGGTTGGGAAGGTTGTCCTACAACATGACATAGCACCATAGGCTATTGTGTATTCCTTAGAGCCAATTGTATTGCTTGGTCTTCCAAGAAACGACCAACAGTAGCTCGATCAAGTACCGAAGCAGAATATCACTCGATGGCTTTTGCAATAGCTGAATTGATTTGGTTGACATTCTTGTTACATGATATTTGTGTTTCTTTGTTCAAGGTTCCTCAGCCTTTTTGTGATACTGTTAGTGCCTTGTATATGAGCGAAACAAGGAATTCAAGCGAAAACCTTAAAAACATGAATTTTGAAATCCATCAAATTATGAAAAATTAAACTCAGGAATTTTTTAATGAAAGATAATCAACAACAATGCGATAGCCCTTTATTTATAAGGGTTTACATGAAAATCTAGTTTACTAGGATTAAAATTAAAACAAGAATTCGAAATAAATTAAATGACAGAAATAGTACTAAAATTTTAAAAATCAATTTTTGAGTCCAAATTAAACTCTAATGACCAATCTATCGTACGTCATGGCATAACAATGAATTTACTCATATCGTCATTCTCTTTTCGGAATAGTATTATGAGTCCAAACTGGAATTTAAATGTTCTTTTTGCATTATTACTTTTTCCTCATTTTGACCCAAGTTTTTAACAATATGTTCTATATAAGTCACTTCCACCTCCAAAGAACTCGACCCCGAGTTATAATCTAGATATAAAGGTTCATCATCTTTATGTAACTCATGCAAATCTGCCACATTGAACGTTCGAGAAATACCTATAGAAGCTTATAAATCAATAATGTAGGCATTGATGTTAATTTGACTAAGTTCTTTGAAAGGTCCATACATTCTTGGTTTCAGTTTGTTGTAAGTACCAACAGGAAATCTCTCATTTCTCGAAAACATCATCATTGAATCTCCTTCCTGAAATTGTTCGTCTCGTTGATGTGAATCTACCATTTCCTTATACTTTACATTAGCCTTCTCTAATTTCTACTTTACTTCATCACGAACTACTAGTACCTCTTTTGCCAGATGTTCAGCAACCAAACTCTTACTATTACTCATGGGTAACTTCACCAAATCCATAACATGATAAGGAACCTCTGTATACACAATAGCAAATGGGGACTTGCCTGCAGCACTATGAACTGCGCTGTTATATGCAAACTCAACCTGAGGTAGTGCAAGATCCCATTGTTTGGGCTTATCTCCACAAACACTTCGAACCATATTTCCAAAGGTACGGTAAGTGACTTTGGTCTGTCCATCAGTTTGGGGTTGAGCAGTGCTGGTTCGATTCAAACTCATCCCAAACAACTTCCACAATGTAATCCAAAGTGTCCACTTGACGTAGTGCAAAATAAGGAATTCAAGCAAAAACCTAAAGAACATAAATTTTGAAATCCACCAAATTATGAAAAATGAAACTCACGAATTTTATTAATGAAAGATAATAAAAAATAATGAGATAATTCTTTATTTATAAAGGATTACAAGAAAATCTAGTTTAATAAGATTAAAATTAAAATAGAATTCAAAATAAACAAGATGACAAAAATAGTGCTAAAACTTTAAAAATCAGTTTTTGGGTCCTAAACGAACTCGGATGGCCGAAATATATCGTACATCATGGCATAGCGATGAGTTTTACTTGTATCGTCGTCCTCTTTCCGAAATCGAATTATAAACCCAAATTGGAATTTGGATGTTCTTTCTACACTTACTTTTTCTCCATTTTGACCTAATTCTTCATCAATATGTTATACATCAGCATATATCCGTCAACCCAATGTTTCATGCTCGGTCCAAGCTTATCGATTTTGATTACCATTTCATTCGAGAAAAGGTTGTGTGGGAATTTTGGCTTCAATATCTTCAAGTTTCCGGGCTCAGTCAATCCAAAACGAACACCACAATCAACAATCTATTCTCCAACCGTACCAAACCCAAAACCTCCAAAACCGGTTGCTTCAAGGTCAGCCCACAAAGGGCGGAGTGTGATAGATAATGGGAGCTCAAACACAGCCACAAAGGCTAAGAGAAGAAGAGAGGAAGGTGGCACAAAACCAAAGGGAAGCACGAAGCAAAGGAGCTCTCTTTCTCTCAAAAAACTCGGCTGCCCAAAGAATCTATTTTCACTCAAAAATCAACAGTAATGGGGCACAACCTATATAGAGTATAGATGGGTTTTAGGTTAGGGAGAATAAGGCCCAATAGGTAGGATGGGCTTTTAGGTTAGGGAGAATAAGGCCCAATAGGTAGAATACAAGTGGGCTAATAACCTAAAAGCCTTCCAAGGTAATAGGTCGGATCATGAGCAACTCTCATTAATTAGACTGCTTCCAATGGCCCAAATTAGTCGTGGGTTTGGTCATAATGATTGTGGTGTCGATATTTCACTTCACTCATCGGCCGAGGCCTATGAAGTATAATCCAACAATAAACCGATTTAACATCATCGCCCGGATTTATTGGGTATCAAAAAACCCAACAGGTTGCAACAAATCCTCTTTATCACTCGGTTCGTATTCTCTGATTCATAACCTTCAGATTTATTCACCAAGTCTTGAACTAAGGATGCCTTTGTACTTTTTCGAACCAAGCTGTGTGTTTATCCATGCTACTACACCAGCTTGAGGGAGCATATTAAGATAAACATTGTTGAAGACAAAATACTCATTAAATTCCACGTTAAAATACCTGAGTTATCTTAATTATACAATGCAAGTTGCATTTTTGGCTCTTCACATTTCAAATACAAGATGCTTCCCTTTTCACGTACCTGTTGTTTTTTTTAGAGATGTTTGACAATTGTTGTGTAATGAATTCTGCTTAATGAATTAGGGTTTGAATGGAGAGCTGCAAAATCAGTGTATTAATTTGTTGAAAATTTGAATTTACACTATAACGTACCCAAAGGCAGAGGCCAGAGGAGTAGTCCATTTTTCCCTTTTCAGCTTTCTGTAATACTCTTACAGTCCCAGAGCTTTACCTTGAAACTATACAGTTACCATTTTAGCCATTTCCCCCTTTTTTTCTTTCTCCCATCATCTCTTTTTTGTCTATATTGTGTTTTCTAATTTTCTTTTTCTTGGAAAGTATACATTTATTTGAATTTGTTGCTTCAATTCAGTTTTCTTTTCCTTTAGTTATAAGTTTTTTTTAATGCTATGGATATGTGTGTGTGTTTGTGTGGGCTTGACACCAAGGCATATAGATGAACCTGAGCACAGCATCTTTTTCGAAAACTTCATTTCATTTAATGAAAAATAAGATAGTTTTTTTTATTTCTGTTCGTTTCTTCTTTTTTTTTTTGGTGGAGGGGGATTAGAAGGGCAACAAAGAATATCAGTCAATGATTTCTCTCTATTGTCATTTGAGGCAGTGTTGCTTTTAGTTTTGCAGCTGAAATGTTGAATTGTGGTTCTTGAAATTCATATCTTGATGGATTCTCTTATTTTGTTTGACTCGTTGCCTCTTTTCCCTGTTGTCTCTACTAAGGTTTGATCAAATAGACAGCTCTTCAGACATCAATTTATTAAAGTTAATAGTATGCCTAAACCTTCTGTTGATAGCATCATTTTGATAATATCTATCCTCCCTCCCCTAAAGATATGGCAGTCGGCTTAATTGCATTCTTATTTTCACGTTTCTGCAGGATGAGACTCGGGATTATATAAAGAGGCAGCAATTATTCTTGAACTCGTTCATTGGATTTATTCTTGTGTTTGTATGTAGTGTGAAAATATGTTTATTGTCGATACAACATAGCAACAAGAAGTGGCTTGATTTGTCGATATCTTCTTGTTATAACACCTATGTATTATTCAAGATTATATTCTAAGACAATATATTGATGGCTTTTCTTACTTAATACTATTAATTACTATTCAATCCTGCTGTATCTTGGCTATAACCGTGCATATAGTTTCTGTATCTTGCTGTTGGCAATGTATATCTGCAGCTTGATGCTGCTTATTGGCTTTAAATAGTATGTCATTAGCAATATCTAAAATTGCATTGTTTATTAAAAAAATATGAAGCTTTTTCTAATTTTATTTCAAGCAAATAAAGATTCATTTAGCCGTTTGAAACTAATCAAAAGGGAGGGGGGGAATTTGCTGACCCGACCCAAACCCACTAGGGTCGGGCCGAGTCAGTTCCTGTTAATAAGCGGTGCGGTTCAGTTTAGAAAATACCTCTAGCAGGAAGTTTACATAAATCCTGTTTTTACTTATACACATTTCAAAATTAAAGTTAGATGTTTTAAATTTCAAAAATCAGGTTTTTATTTAAATTTATTTATGAATTACTTAATTAATTATAT